GTACCATGGGTGAAATATTTAATAAAATAACAAAAAAAAAAAATGTTCTATTGTACATTGGATCGATTTTAAAATAAAAATGAAATTTAACTCGATTTGAAAATACCACCATACAAAATGTATATAAATAGTATATTTCTATCATCATCATCATCTCAATATATTAATACTCGTATATTACCTATACAAACGTGTATAGGAGAGGTACCTAAAAGTTACACATAATCTGTCTCGCCATCTGGTTTATAGCACAAGCGTTACGTTTCCCCGAGCTTTTCTAGCGACAGATGGGAGCTTGTCAAATAAAAGCGTATTGTTCCTCGCCACCGAAATCGCATACCACAATACAAGTGGTGTTTTCGACATTCGTTTGTATCATAGCATTGGTAATTTTTTGACAATGGTTTTCGCCAAAAGCAGATGGTGTCTCACACGGATCGAGCCAAATCGGATCTCGGTGCGGAACGAATTTTCCATTGGATTTCAAGTCCTGGCGTGACTTATGAATTCGATGTTGCCCGAATGAAAAACTCCGTTCACAATAAGGCCGTCAATCGATGAGTGCCGTGGAAAATGTACAAATACACACACACACACACATATATATATATATATACACACATTTTATACGCATACAAAAACTCAATGTCTATCACCCAACAAACACCTGGCTACCATACAGAACCCACACAAAGCAATTGTGTATTTTAACTATAAATACACAAAATATAATATTTGTCGTTACAGCGCCTTATTCACCATAAAAATGTACAAAACTTAGAAAAAAATAATACCCATGTATATTGTATATGTACAAAATTATCAAAAATATCTTTCACGTCTGTTTCTTATTAGATATTACAAAAATTAGATACGATATTTTAAACTTGTTTATTTTTTTTTTTTTTGACTCGTAACAGTAAACATACTTGAATTTCTTACAAGTTAAATTTAAAGACTATAGTTATATTTGTAAACGATACATCTATACAATTTGGTCCTTTGTTTGCAAGAAAAATCTTTAACTAAAATAATGCGTATCTTTACAATTACAAAAAATATATATATATTATATCGAAAGTTGATATAAAAATGAAGTTTTATGACATCAATCGTTTCACAAACCTCATCGCAAGCCAATTGTTATTAATAACAACGATTATGATAATATAATTTCAAAGAAATTATCAATCATATTATTAAATTAAAAACAACAATTTTAAGTGTAAATAAATTTACTTACTATTATTATAATAAATATTCAATATATATTTTCATATTTTAATCACTATACATTTTATTATCAGTTATAATTTTAATAAAAAACAAACGTTTTAATAAGAATTTTTTTAAGCGTTATAAATTATGATAAATAGATTTAAATAAAGATTCTCAAGAATTTTAAAATATTATAATACATTATAATTAAACATGTATATTTTCTATTAAAGTATGCAACAAATAGGTAAATTTTTAAGAATCCACTAATAAGTGATTATTGTGAAACAATTATTTCATTAATTAACGTTACTTTATTAATATTTTTTCAGTAAATATATTTTTTTACTATTTATATTATATTAAAACTCAAATTAAACTTGTAATTTTCTAATACTATATTGTATATTAAACTAATTTTCAATAAATATTTATTAACGATAATAATAAAAATAATTATATTTTCAATTATGTATGCACTATACGTCTCAGAACATAATAATGTAGTTTATGTAGTTTAATTTATTATACACTTAAATAATTCAATAATTTATATACATCGCTTACAGTACTTAAACCCCTCTAATGAAAATATTTTACAAATACATTTATACTATTATTCTTTAAAATTAAATTGAATACACTATACTTCAATTGCTTTAAGCCTTTAACAAGAACATTGAACAAGTTTAATATAATTTACTAAACTTTTAAGTATTAGGTCATGCATATGGCCGTGTAGCAGGTAGTACAAAAAACTTTTCCAAGTAACTTATTCTTAAAACCACATTTAAACACATTCGGAAATATATAATTAATATTCTTATTAAAATTTAAGAATTGTTAATCATTTGACACTTGGTATTGATCATTTGTATATTTAATTTTTCTAAACAATTAAAAATTAATTATTTTTTCAATTAAGTATCAATCAAGTTATAAATTTTAAATCTCTAGCTGATATTGTAATATTGTAGGTATACAGTAAGATACACTATATCTCATCAGACTCATTGAATATTTCCTCATACCTACACACATAATAATATTATTTACTTATATACTTCTAAGCACATCTAACTTTGACCAACTATAGAAATACTCAATAGAAATTAGTAATTCATCTTTTAAGATATATATTCACAAATATCAGTTTTTATCGGCTTGGAATCCTAAATATGAATATTTAAATTTTAAGTAATCAAAAAACTTGTATTATTTTTACATTATTATAAAGCCTAAATAAAATATTAATTTAGGCTATATCATTCAGTTATAATTGCCCGAAAACATTGATCAGGAAAAAGTATTAACATTCACTGAATGACAACATAGTGAAATATCTATCATTATATAAATAATATGAAATGACGTATCTATGGTACCAGCTTTATGATATATTATAATAAAAAGGGGAATGTAGATAACTGTTGTGATGACAGTAGGCATCGATTGTACTTCATTATTAAGCTTGTAAATCAAAATTCAAAAGTATATGTTAAATTACAATTCAATAATAAATCATTCCTCGCGAAAAACAATTCTAAGCAAAGACCATCTGTTAGCTTATTTATTACTATGGAATAATACCTAAATGTAATGTGTATAATATTATGATTTATAATATATTGATATTAGCGATATTGCTATGAAATTATGTTTTTAAATATTTATAATACGTTGAGTTTATTTTTTTTTTTTTGTGCAAAACATTACATTTTAAAATATCATTAGGTTTATAAAATCTATTAAATTATTAATATACATTGAGCATTTTAAAAACGTAATCTTATATTGAATTTTCAAATTAAAGTTATAAAATTTGAACATTTCATAAATTATTAAATATAAAATAATTTACAAATTTTGTCAAAATATAAACTTTAATTGTTTTTAAAAAAAAAATCATGACTATCTATCTTTCAAATTTTTTAATGACTTTAATGACAACTTATGAGGAATCTTGTATTACCTACATTTCCAAGATCTTAGCAAAAAACTGCATATCAATATTTATAAAAAAAAAAAAAAGCCTTATGAGTTGAATCTAAAGAATCAGAATATTTTTAAAATCATTTCATGTAGAGAAAATCTTAATAAAAATATTTAGTGAAATAATCAAATATTCACAGTTAATCGTTTTTGAGTTAGAAAAAAAAATAAATCTGATTTTGTCAAAAGCTGGTTTTGAGTAAAAATTTTAATTATTATGTTTTTGTTTTCTACCTGTTTATTTATAAAAGTACCAGAGTTTTTTACTTTTGACTCCCCCTCCCCCCAAAAAAAAATAAAAAAAAAAATACAAACTAAATTTAATTTTCATTTAGAAAACACTATTGAAAAACTTTTATTGCCTCAAATTGTGATCAAAAACATAGATATAAAAATAAAAATAAAAATTCGTCATTTTAAAATCAATACATTCATTCCTTTGCTCAAAATCTTAGATATTATGTATTTAATATGGTACTTATATATACCTATTATGTATCTATGTTGTAATATCGAACAAACATATTATAAATTTTATGAATCTGATGTCCCTTGCAGTTCAAACCTAAACGGAGTTTGAAAATGGCATGACTCATGAGAAATAATTATTAGTATTATATAAATATAATACAAGCCTATGTGCCATGTGGCTATGTGATACCTATTGATATTGTACAAATGTACAAATAAGTGTAATGTCACATAATCGACAATATAAAGATATATATTTTTGATACGCAACACCGATACATTTCCAAGGGCAAACATAATCTATTCGGAACGAAAAAAAAAAAGTAATTGTTCTGGAACGAATAAAAATAATATTGTTCCTGAACAATATGGTTCATTTGGACTTATTTTTCATCCATGCAGCACATGTGTATATTAAAATGCGTAAAGTTATACGAGTATTCTATTGGGATACGCACAAAATTACATTGAATCGTATACCTATGTACATATATATATATTTTTTTAAAGTAGTAAATAAGGCAATGATCTTTGTTTGTTGTTAAGTCACTAGAGTAAAAAAAATAAATATATGTATAACAATAAAATAAACCATACTATATTATATTATTATATAACGATTGGTTTATATCAGCTATTGTTGTAGGTATTAATAGGTTTACCGCTTCAATATTTCATAAATAGTTATTATATATATATGTTATATTTATAAGTACGACAAAATATAAGCAACAATGCAACATACAAAAGACAAAATTATAAAACGTTATAATGAAAAATCATTTTGTTTTACTGTGTAAATTTGATTTTCGTTAAACAACGTTTTATCTTTTACTTTTATATTTTACAAAACGACTACCTATAATATGTGAATGAGTATAAAAATTGTTCTATGTATCCGTACAATAGTTTATTATTATCTAAATTTTATATTCAATAAAAAATAATTTAAAATCGATACATTTTTGTTTACAAGCTAGGTACTTTTTTGATTCGAAATCCTCCGGATAACCATTTCTTTGAAGTACATTGATAGTCATGGGCGTAGCTGAATAATATTTTGGAAGCGAGAGGGAATGAATAAGTATACATTTATTCACTGCCTCAGTGATAATTTTACAGACTACAAGTCTTTTATTAGGGGTATATTTGCATAAAATAAAATATCCAGCGCACCGATAGTCATAAGTGTAGTATCAAAAATAGTAATATCTACTAATAGCTTAATAGCCACTAACTTTTAATAACAGAAAATCGAGTTATACCATTGAAATACAGTGCTAATTTTTGTTAATCCATCAGCCTGCTATACAGGGTAAATGGCTGAACACATAAAGTCGTATCAATCAATCAGAAAATTTATGCCGAAAGGAACAGAGGAACTTGCAAGTAGATTGGTTAGATGGCTTAAAGGTTATAACCAAAAATGTTTCAAGTACTTTTAAGATCAATCTTGCGTACGCAACGAATATATTGTAAAATATCATGTCCCCCGATCCGCCGCTCAACTATCCACGCTACTCCCATAGCGGCGGCAGTGACGACGTACGACGATTGACAATAAAAAAAAAAAAAAAAAAAAAAATTATAATAATAATGTAATATGTATTCTATGTTCTATGTTTATGATTTAAATGATACAAATCTTTATAAGATCTATGTAAAAGTCTAACAATTTTAATGTTATTACGATTTACATTATACTATTACAGTTGAAATTTTTAAACGTTATTCGCTACATTTTTTTATATTTCCTGTTAGATTTTTAAATACAGTATATTTTAAAAAGAATGTAAATAATACAATATTCTATTGTCACTGTGAGTACCTATTTGGTTTAAATGTTTACATGTATGTAATTATAACAACATATACTGTTCATAAGTAGGTGTATATATATTGTATGTTGTATTCACTAAATATCGAGAAAAAAAAATAAAAAATTAGAAAAGATAGAATAACTTTTTATAAACGTTCATCTATATCTAACTATTTACAAATAGCTTTACCAAAAGAGAATAGCTTAAACTTTCGAGTTGTTTCATTATTACGTCAACACTATACAACATATAAAAAATGTCATTAGTATCAAACTAGAGACTTCGTTATAGCCATCGAGTGCAGGCATGATCGGCACAAAACAATAATATAGTAGAGTATCAGACACAGATTTATTTATATGATGTGCAATATTTCTTTTAATTATATTGTTCAGTGAATAATTAATTTAGACTCTAGGCGACGGCGGCTTTGACCATGGAGGACACTGCACAGTGTATTTTTTCACGTGTATGCCACATGATTTCAGATTTTCTACGTTTTATTATTATTACATAAATTTATCTATATATTTTGTAAATATATAACTTTTTTTTTATAAGTATAGAGATGAGCCCCGTCTTTTCGTCATTATCGCTGAGCTGCAAGCGCAAAGGTTCCTCATATTATTCGTATTACGTGTATTCGTTAATATCGTTTATCGTTTTATTAGTTGTCTATCGTTGTATTATTGTTGTACGGTAATCGTATACGATGCAGATTCGATACACATCCGGATTGCAGACCGTCGGCGACGGTCGCACAATCGCGCAGAACGACAGACAGCACCAATACGGCGGTCAACCGGTAGCGGTACGGGCGTGGGCGAGGACGTGGTTCGGTACCGACGACAGTGACGATGGTGACTTACTAGTGGCGGAGACTGTGCGGGGTGTGAGTTGCTAGGAATAAAATAGTATACAGAGCAGTACCGACCCGGAGACACCGTCCGTTTCCGGGTGCTGGCGGCGACCGGATGCAGTCATTAACCATACAGGGCGAAAATTCTGTACAGATTGTGTGCGCGCCGGTCCGCTGCTTGCTGTACCTCTTTTATGCCTCGACTCACGTCCCGCCAGTGACCACCGATTCCGCCGCGGTTTTTCACCAGTGTTTTCGACGTCGTCGAGCACAACATCACACGCTATACTACATAATATTATATAGAAGCTCGCCGTCTGTTGTACGCTCCGATTGAACCCGTCAACGGCACTCTTCCGCCCCGAGTCGGGACGCGACCAGTGGTGCCGTGTTGTACTTTGAAGTTTGAACTCGCTCTCGTATGTGCACCGCCATATGAAATCGCGTATACCTCACACCCTGCAGTGTGTACATCGGCTGTCGCCGTATATAATATTGTGTAGTAGAACGGTTCCGACCTGCACCACTGTAATAATATAGCCGGTAAGGTGCATGCGTAACAGCTTGGACAACATTTGGAGCGTACACTCGAATCATGTCCGGAAAAATATCGTAGATACTTGCCCGAAAGAAATTGTTTGGATCTGAAATCGTTATTATAATTTTTTTTTTTCAAATTCAAATTTTAACAGAAGTAAACGTGCAGCTTTGAAAATATAATGAACGCGATTAGCCAATATAAACGTATTAGTATGCGAACAATGTTTTGTCGTACCTATAAAACCATCTGTATACAGTCGTATAGTAGGTAAGAGAAAAATAGATGATAATATATCATTGAATATTGATGAAAGTATTGTTGAACAAAGTTTCACAAAAGGGATTATATACTACGAAAATATAAATATAGTGGCGCCATCTGTCGGAGTTGTACACGAAGAGTAAAAAAAAAAATTACAACTATAACTTAATCAATTTTTATAATAAAAGAAAAGAAAATATGTAGTTTTCTCATATAAAACGTTAATATATGAATAAGAAGTGAAAAGTAGGGCACAAACAATGACATAGAACTACGAATACGTGCGCTTTAAGAATGTTTTTTGAACATGTTGATTTTGGAATATTAAAATGGTTTTCTGGTCGAATTTTTGTCAACGGACGATACTAATAAAGTAATAAATAATAATGAAGGCTCGTATTCATGCCCTAAACAATGCTTAAATAAGCATAACTTATGCTCATAAAACTGGCAAAGTATACATTTAAACACGCCTTGAAATGCTTAGAAATATGCATTTATAATCTTATATCAACTAAAAATCTAAAACTATATACATTTAAAATACGCAGATTAATAAAAAAAAAACTAAAATAGTCGAAAATTCGAAAATAAACCATTGTAAAAAATATCAAGAAAATAAGACTTCATACAACATATTTTCCACTAATTGTTTAAAGCGGACATGATACACTGATTAATCAAATGAAATAATGGCTACAGTGTTTTAATTTTATTAACTTAACGGTTACAATTTTTGCCAAACATATTTTATACGGTCCAAAAATATAAATTATTGTAACTTTCACCAAATTTTGACCAAAAATACGTTAAATATGCCCAATAAAATAAAAAAATGTGACAAATATGCAAAAAACCTCTAAATATGCAAAAATATACAAAATAAAACTTCACATACTTAACCGTGGTACATTGAATGGATTTCTATGTCATCTAGCATTAAATACGACTTAGCAAGATTGATATGCAAATATATAAACTCACGAGCTCCGCTAATAATTAACGATTAACCGTACAGGCCTGCAGTTAACCTCTAACAACAACCGACCTAAAAAACTAGCAGCATTTGGCAAAGTTTTACGGTTGTCGACTCAAATTTTGCTTTATGTGATATTTGTAAAAAAATTTATTTTACAAAGCAAGTGTAACTAAAATATTTAACAAACTAGGTTCATTTGATTTATCCAAACATTTCACAGGAAAAAAAATAATAAAAATAAAAATATACAACAATCACACATATTTTTTATTTTTTTTATCAGTTGCCCTAATTATTAGGCTTACGTACAAAAAATTACTAAAATTTATTATATTTCTGCTTTTCATAAAACAGTGAATCATTATTATTATTTATTTTATTATTATTATTATTATTATTATTATCGTAAAAATCGAAGTTAGAAATGTATCGCCTTTTTTGATAATAAATACAAAACGTTAGACTGTATTTAGTGTATTTGCCATATTATACGAATCTATAAAAACATTGAATGGTTGATGAGTTGTTTGCACGAATTGTTCACACGTTTATAACAACTTTCGATATAGCAACTTTAGTCGCTAAGGTAACTAATCTCAGTTTACTAAATAAACCATAAAGTCTGTATAATCTACACTATACCTTTTGAAAGATATTTGTGAAGTTAATTTTTGATTTTCCTTCATTTTTTTTAAAGATGAATAGTGGAGACAGTGCTGAATTGGATGATAAACGTTTGGTTTACGTTTATAACTTTCTAATCAAATCTTTGAAAGTTAAAATTGATGTCATAGACACAATGATGCGGAATCGAGAGTTTCATGTACGTATATTATTGTTAATATTAAATTAGAACGATTATTCATAATAATAATAGCATTCGTTAAATAGTTTGAATACGATAACTTAGGTATTATAAAATTAAATTTATTCTGAAAAAATTATAGAAATTTATTTCTGAATATAGTACCTACCCATATATGGTATTTAAAATATAACAAATTATTTACTGGGTTATACAGATTATTTAATATAGTTTTTATTTAAATACATGAAAATGCTTAGTGTCCATCGTCGAATACAATTTTGGCCTTTGTGATAAATATTATATAGTAAATAAAAAATAAAAAGTATTTAAAAAATAAAAATAAAATAAATAAGGTAATTGAAGAAATATTTACAATCTTTCTTCATAAATAAAAGTAAACAAAATATGTAATTAGTTATGTTTCATACAACTTTTAGGCTAAAGTAATGGATTTTTTAAATACGCCGAATCGTGATTCGATTTTTTTCATGGTAAACTCTTCTGGTTTATTGACACCTATATATGATGATTTTCCTGATGGTTTTAAGTCTAGAGTAACCTATATTATAAAACTTAAATCAGTTGAAATTACACCCAATAATTGTGATACGACACTTTTGTGTGGAGAAGTGTCATCAAACCCTTTTGAAGATTTAAAAGCGATAACTGAAAATGTAAGTGGTAAACGTTGCTAACTGATATTGGAGTCTTTATTAAATTAATTTGTATTTATTTTGAATAGACAATTTTGAGTTTATTTTCCAACAAAGAGAACTTTTTTCAAAAACTCTTCTGATGACATTATATTGGAAGTACAAGACAGGCTTAATGATTTTCTTACAAACATAAATAACATCTCAGGACATTTGAAAAATCGCTCAATATTGACATTGCCTCATGGATATGACAGCATTAACACCGCTTTACAAGCAGCTGAATTGAGGTACCAATTATTTATTCAAAAATAATTTTACTGAATTTAGTATAATTGTACGTTAAAATTGAAAATATTGCTAAGTGTCACACGCGATATGACACAATATGAGTATATTTATATTAGCCGCTTTATTCTTTTTTCAAAGCGGTTTAGCTATTTTTAAGTTATTCATAGACAAATTTTCAATTTTACTTTAAATTCTGAAAAGAACAGTTTTATTTTACTACGATGTATGTTTTGTTTTTGTGTATCTATCTACACGATAAATAGACGAAAAAATGCTTCGATTTTCAACTTTAAAGGTAGTTTTGAAAAGAAAATTGAATCTAGTTTGTAATTTACAAAAGATCTAAATTAAAAATTACTAGAATTTTTTGAAAATAAATGAAAAAAAAAAATTAATAAAATAAATAATAAATAAAATAATTTAATTAATAATAAATAATTAATTAAATTTTACATTTTTTGAAAAATAAGAAAAAATATAGATGTTTACCCAAACCCACTTTTCAACAGTAATTTTGTTTGCTATATTTTTTTCGTATAACTAAAAAAAGAATAACTATAGATACTAGACATTTTCACTTAAGTATTTTCTATACATAATATTTTTTTTAGTTTTTTTTAAAATATATATCGACAAAAAAGTAGTTCAGGTATCCTGAATATTTTTTATATAAAATTCGTAATAAGTTGTTCATTTACAAATAAACTTCATTGCAAATAAAATTTAAATGTGCCTATGTACTTGAAATATTTTTACATATCACTAAAAGCTACTTATTGGATTTTGTATTATCAATTTAAGCTTTTAGATCAAACAAAAAAATGTTATCGATATTTATAAGTGAAAATAGAAACTAGTAAAATTAATAATTGCAAAAGTGAAGAGTAATTTTGAAAAAAATTAAAATATTTTGTATAATAAATGAAAACATAAACATTTAGTGAAAATTAATTGCAAACTTCATTTTTGAATTGAATTAAAATAACGAAATTGATTTTGTCTAAAATTGGATTTCCGTTAAAATATTTGTTTTTTCTTGATTTTTACTTCTTTTTCCTAATTATTTTGAAAAATACTTATATCTTTAATTTTTTACTCTCTAAAATATAAACTAGATCCAATTTTTTATGCAAAAACACCCTCAATATTAAAAATATAACCTAACAACCTAACTTTTGACTGCTTATCATGAATACATAATACACACACAATATAACATCATCGTAAAATGAATACATGCATCTCGCCTCACTCAGTATCAAAAATAAAACACATATTTAGTTTCAAATTCAATATATTTATCGTTTTGTTCAGAATTTAAACAATCTACGAGTAACATTAACGTAGTTTATAGCTCTGTGTCTAAAAACCATATTTTATTTACTAATGAATACAAATTGTAATGCTTAAATACGTGTTTAGTGGTGGAAAAATTATTGATGATGTGTTAAAACAAAGATTAGAAAACAAAGTGTACGCTTGGTACAGAGAAATTAAATCAATGGTAGCGCTTAAGCCAGATGTGATTTTGGAGAAAAATCCCGCTGCATTGCCTGCCCAGTGTACGCACTAAATTAAAATATATTATAGTTAAATTTTTCATATTAATTTATTTTAAATATATTTATAGACTTCGATTTCTGGATAAATCGAGAAAAACAGCTTATACATTTTCACGAACAAATTGGCCAACAGATTGGACATTATTTAACCATTACAAAAAGTCCATGTTTGAATATTTATAAGCAAATAATAGAAACTACTGTGTCTGGTAAATCGATATGTTAATCCATTATGGTTTTCATACAATAAATGTTTACAATGATGATAATAATACTAATTTTGCTTTTATTTAGAAAAACGAGAAACAAATTTAATTAATAGTTTTTTATCGACACTGACTAAGCACATTAATGCAATCGAAGGAGATGGTTTGGTCGAATCGAAAGTAGAAATATGCGTTTTATGGAGAAAATTGACTTGTATATGGATAAATTGTCCGAATTTTCAAAATTATAATTACCTAATTATCTTGATAAATGTATTGTGTAATATGGTCATGGCTGAAGTGAGTAAAACAAGATATAATATTATGTATTAATCAATTTTTATCTGACATTAATATTCCAGTCCTCAAGATACTTAGAACCAACTGCTATATTTCAAGGCGAACTAGTAGAGAACTTAGATAAAATTTATGACATTCTAGACATAATAAGTTATTTCAAGTAACTAGTTTTCATACATGTTAAGTTATGAATATGCATATAATATTTCATTAAAAAATGTATTGCTTAGAAATCAAATCAAAATTGTTCAAACAGAATATTTTAAGAAACTATTTGATAAATTTAGTTTGTCAAATTCTGCTTCACGTACTTACAAACCACGTTATTGGAACTTCCACATAAATGATATTTTTCAGAGTCTTAACGAATTTGAAGAACGGTTAAACTGCATTAAAGTATGTCAGAAATATATTACATATTAGTAGAGAAAAGACTTTCATGTATTTGCATAATATATATATATTTTTTTTATCATATGCTTAGTAAGTACACAATACATGTCACAGCTTTATAATTAAATACTTAAAATGTTTAAAACTTATTTTTATATTTTTTAACATTTTTGGGCTTATAGGACATATTTTTGATCATAAGTGCATATTTTAAATTTTTAGTGCATAGATTGATAGTTTATTTCGGTAATTATTTTTCATAAATCAAGGTCGACAATTATTATAAACGGTAAATTTTTCATAACAAAAAATAAGTCCAATTTTTATCTTAATCGTCAGTGAGTATATTAGATTAGATTCGTATTAGTTGTATTTTTTGATGCGTAAATGCCTATTTTTAAATCATATTTGGTAATTTTTTTAATGCATAAAAGTCCTTGTTCTACGTATTAATATAGGTAACTATGTAGTTTACATAGTATTTATATTTGAGTTTTGATATTGAAGTTAACTTGAGTTAAATTTATTATATTGCCCGAGTTTATTCTAATTACTGTATAATTATTAATAAATATTATTATTGTATTTATTAATAGTACTTAGTACCTAAAAAAAAAACAACGAAAACCCTAATTATTTACGCAACATTATTTTTGACAAAATTGATTTGGGTATTATATTGGTGAATATTTATATTTGCATTTTTTAACCATTGTAAAAGCAATATTTAAAACTATTAATGAGTACTTTCAATTTTCATGTTTTTTTTTTTTTAAATTTTTCCTCAGTCAAAAGTTTGAAAAATTAATACACAATTCTTTATAAGTTATACATAACAAATTAAACATAATTTTTTTTTATGAGCATTTGAAATTCAATTTTGAAAAAACTCGTCTAAATCTTAAACATTTGCAAGTTATATATTTATCTAATATACTGCAGAATGAGAATTCCCAGGTTTTGTTTAGTTATTAATCCATTTATGAATTATGATGATATAAAAAAAAATTCTGTTATAATAATTTTAATAGTAAACTATATATTTTTAACTGCGAGTGCGTTGTATTATTTATAATCATATTGTTACACATATATTAATTACTATGTCTTACAATTATATTGTTTTAGTCAATGATAATAAACTTGATTGATTACCAAAAATTGGAAAAAGTGGATGTGGGTGAACTTATTGGCTGTTGGTATAGTCCAATGGTTGAAAATATGTATCTTCGGTTCACAAAATTCATGGAAAAGTTGACTTCAATAGCTTACGATCCATTGGACTTATTGAACGATGCGAATAACGTCTCTTTTCTTGAGGATTACAATTACTATTTAAATATGTCGAACGATATTGACAACCGTTTAGCAACTGTCGCAAAAGCTTGTTTCCAAAACATCGACAACCTAATGTCTTTTCACAAGGTAAAATTATTATCCATTTTGTTATATTATATTATATACTATATACACATAAAGTTTTATACCGATCCTATGAAATAAAATTTAAAATAACAATACTAATTAATAATTTATGTCTATAATGAAACACTGATGATTGACGAACACATTTTTCAAAAACAAAATTTATGTTGGTAGAAAGATAATTATAATAATATGTATAATAACTTGTATTTTTTATTCAGTACCTGTCTTTAAAAAAATCTTTTTAATTTTAAGTTTTTATAGTTGTAGGCATAAATTATTTAAAAGTTAGAAACAATCTCAATATAGCTAAAAATAAAGGTGTAGGATACAGCATGTTTTTACATTTTAAACTAAATGATAATGTGTTTTTTTATGTGTGTATATACAGTTAATAGTTATAAAAATGATTCGATCTTCAACTTTGAGGTAGAATTTTTTACTTCAATTTTTTTTTTTTTTTTTCAAGTTGATAAAATATTTTTATTTGATTAAAAAGCTTGAAAATGTACTACAAAATCCCATATTAATTATTGTTTTTAAAGCTATACTAAAATATTTAAAATAATTATGCAATATTCATGTTTTCATAAGTATTTAAAATTAAAATTTTGTAAAAATTTGCAAATAGTTTTAAAATCTATAAAATTTTCAATTTTTATTGTCAGTGATTGAAAATTTAATAAAAAATTCTTCAAAAGTATTCTTATTGAAATAAAATTAATCTAATTTTTTTTTTTTTTTTTTAAGGCATTCTTAACTAGAATAGCTATCTAGGCCTATTTATAATATATACATACAATTTTTCTTACTTACATAAGTGCGATATAAAATTAATCTAAAGAATAATATGTAATCATAATTATTTTTTATAAATATTTGAATTTAAAATTTAAACAAAATTACATGTTAAAACTACGAATAATAAAAATAAAATAAAATAATGATGTTAATTATTTTATTATGATACAAAAAAATTATTCGTGGATACTTCAAACTTTTATGTATATAATATAAATCTTGCTATACGCAATGATGTTTTCAACAAATTGAGACTCGTTTTATGATTTAAGATAATACATATTTATACTACGAATCTATTAAATATAGGCTTATTATGAACTCGAAAGTCAATAACAAAAATATAATATGATAATATAGTTCGTGATATAGGATAATAGAAAATTCCCCCTTAAAATTGTTCTACATAATATATAATGATGTATCATTGAATTAAAATTCGACGCAACTACTACAGTGATTCACTCTACATCTATTGTACAGAAGACCGGTGTACCTATCCACTTGCTCACCCTTTTATAATCATATTAATCTTAAATTTACAGTTTATATTGATATTTGGTTCATCCGTGTTGAATCGACCTATCATAGCGGGTATTGTGGAAAAGCATTTCGGAAAAGTTTTGGATTTACTTGACTTAGAATTAACCCAGGAATTAGTTAGTATCAACCTTTTATTTTATTAATATTATAATTATACCGACCAAGTAGTTGAAATAATTTTTTTCTCCATGTTCTTAGAAAATTATTGACCGTCTATCAGGAATGACGATGGATACCGAAATCCAGAAAAGTGACTATTATGAAATGCGTTACATACCAGAAGAAATGGACCAAGAGTACCCACTTGTGGCTAGAGCAATCATGTGGGGTAACTCACGAATAAATAATCGATTGTGGGAAGATTTAAACGTTATTCAGACTTTTAACTTACCGTAAATATCACATAATATAATATAATATGATTTATACTACACTAGACACAACTTGTACGTGACATCAAAAGAATCTCGTTTCACCATTCTTTTGGTCGAAAAATTTTCATGGACATGTAAATGGAATATTTTTAGTATTTCAGTAACTATATAAACAGTGTGCTATTTTTATACACAAAACATGTTTCAGTCCGAAACATGACAAACGAACTTCAATTATTATATATTCGTTTTATTAAGACTTAATTCAATATAGTATAAAAACGTATAAGTGATAATAACGAATAATTAAAACTAACAAATAAACTATAAGTTAATATCTTCAAAATATTGTGAAAAGTTTACCAAGAATACTTTTACATTGAAATATATAATAATATTTCATGTAATATTATGTAATATTATTATTACATTATTATTATGTAATATTATTTTATGTAATAATATGTTTTAATATTGAAAATATTAAAACTAATAAAAGGTTATATTTGAAGACCATAAATTGGCTTCGTTATGGCTTATATAAGAACAATAGCATCGAGCAAAGTCTAGAATTATGGTTTTAAGAATTAATTATGAATGAAATAATGTTCGAGAAATCATATGAATATAAATTAAATACTTATTGATTTAAAAAGTGATATACCAGAACATATAATCTAATGTAGAAACTGTTAAATTGTAGTAACTAATAACTATTGAGTATTATAACTTTTTATAAATGAATTAACTTACTTTTTTTTTTTTATAGTATCTAGTTTTCTGTTCCTGTGCTTAATATGATAATATGCAAATGCACTTACTTTGTGATAAGTATAATTACAAATAAGTAATACTAAATAAATAAACTTAGATTCTTTGTTGTACAGAATCATGGAAACCCCGAGAGGAAATAAAATCATTATAAAGGCCGAAAAATTAAAGGAAAAATTTAAAAATTATTTAAGTCCTTTGTTTGATGAATGGAAGCGTGTTGTACCGATACAGATACAGGAAAAAATAGTTCAACCACTTTTCAAAATTAATGAAAATAACACAATCAGTCTGAACTTTTCTAAAGAAGTAATCATTTTTATTTGTTATCAATTTCATGTAATAATTGTTTTTATTTTCTTATAATATATAAAGCTGGATGCCGCAATTAAAGTAACTAGATACATAATACTCAGTAATTACAATTTCAAAAATCCAATGTTTGCGATTGAAATATATGATTTACCACTCGATGCAATTAAACTCTATAAACGAGAAAATCTGATTTTAACATATAAAAGAGATATTGAAGAAATAGTTAAATGGTTAGTGAAGTTACTTAAGCTTTTAATTTTTATATTTAGTACTTTGTTAATACATAAAAAGTTTGTTTTATTACTTAATTTATTATTAATATATCTATAAATATAGATACAATTGTTAAAATTAAAAACTTATATGCCAGATTGGAAAAACGTATATTAATATATAGACCAACCATGAGCTGCTTAATCATTTTTAAGGACCATTAGTTCACTATTGATTTATAACATGTTTACTAATTACTAATTTTGCATGCGACCGGGCATTCGAATATTAAAATATTAGGCTTAAGAATATTGTATTAACACTACAGCCTTTAAAAGTCATATTTAGTTTGTAAGCAAAATTTAAAATTATGTTCTAATAAAAATAAGCTTTGATTTTAGATATCTGTTTATTACAAAATAACATTTGCTTATTCAGGTATAATATACTAAGAACAGAAACCCACCCTACAGAATTACAGTTAATTATTGAAGAAATCGAAAATATAGATAATCTTATTGATTTCGCTCAAAAGTTTGTTACATGGAATTCAAAAGGTAAAAAAGTGTTCTTATCTCTATATAATTAATACGTACAAACACATAACGTGATATTAGACAACTAAATAAATATAGTATATCATCTTATAAATAGATATTGCTTACCCGAGCGAAAATGATTTGAATGAAGAATCGGAAAATGATGAGCCTATGTCACCCATATCGTTACAAAATACAATTAGCACTATTCATAGTTTAACTAAAAATCTTTATGAGCGAGTAATGCAAACCCACGACAATTTTCAAAAAATTATTACCCTAAGTAGTCAATGGATTAATAAGCCAATGTACGTGCGTGATAAGAGTACAAAACGAATAACGTTCGACCATAAATTGACAGGAAAAAAAATCGCTAGATACGCTGAGATACGAGACGCTAGTATTAAGATACAACGATTGCTTAAAGAAGACCTTTTATTATTTCACAATGTACCATTATTTGATCCAAATTTGAGTAAGTTGACTTCATTACATTTACCTTTAAAATGTTAAAGACATGAACATAGTATATTTTCAAATAGACATATTATCTAATTCACAAATAATGTTTCATCAATATATTTTCCTAAAATAATATTAAGTTAAAATAAAAACTTTACGGTTAATATGGTAAATAATATATAAATGAAGGATGAAAAAAATATCCATTTTTCTAAATAAAAATATAAGTTGATTATTCAATCTATGATATAGGCCTTCTTCATTTTAGAAGAAGCAGAGCAAACATAATATCCTTTACTATGTTTTTAAAGAATGATTTAATGGAATAATATTTAATATTTTTAGAGGAGAACAACTAAAATGAAAACTCAGGTAGTAATTATTTTAGAAACATTACTTATGAAACAGAATTTAGTTTAATTTATTCTATTTAATTATAAACTATGTTTATAAAGTTAATATTATAAAAATAAAATTTGTTAACTTACATTAAAAAGAAATTATTTTAGGAGACACATTTGAAGATAATTTAGAAGGAGAAGGAATAGAAGAAGAAAAAGGAGAAGAAGGAGAAGAAGAAGGAGAAAAGGTAAGAGAAGGAGAAGGAGAAGAAGAAGGAGAAGAAGGAGAAGGAGGAGAAGGAGAAGAAAATTATGGAGAAGAAAACATTGACTACATCAATCAAGAAGAAATTGTTTTAGAAGAACTACTTGTAGAAGAAGAAAATAACAGGGAAGAAAAATTAGACTTTATAGACATTCAGGCTGAAATTATTTTATCTAGCATCCAAAGAAAGCTAATGTGGGATAAATATAAGCAATATGTTGATGAAGTAGTATTTACGGGATTACAAGATGCAACTCTTTGCAGGTATGAAATATTAATTATAAAAATAGTTAATAGATAATATTAAGGTAAGAAAAAGTATAATAAACATAATAATATAACTTATTTTCACAGTAAAATAAAGTATTTTTGGTTAAGTTTATGAAAAAAAATGAAAACTATTTTTAATAATAATGTAGTGAAGCCTAACTGAAATAATAACTACGTGGTATCAGTACATTTAAAAGAGTTTTTACTATATTATTATTTATTATATTTTACCATTAGTAAAATTGTATTTAATCTTAGAATAAAAAATTTAAATTAATCAATAATAATAAATAATTTTGATTATTTTTTTTTCAACTACCTTAGTTTATCTATATAATAACGTCTTATTTGTATATTCTACGACTATTTATAATAATTAAAAATAATGTCTTAATTGATCACAAGCAATATATCTATATTTATATACAAATTTAGTCTAACTAATTTCATAAACAATTACAGTCTCAAGTATATCAACGATGAAATAATAATTGTCAATGGACCTTCGGCATTATTTTTGATTGTATACCTCTTCGATAAAAATAATTTGCCCCGTTTTTTGCCAAATTTGGAAATTGATGATGAACCAAATTTTATAAGATTAGTTACTTCTTTACTTGAAGATATGGTTGAAATGGGATTGTACATGGAAAGAATTGCCGACAGCTATCCATCATATAATGTAAAAACTTTAATACTGAGTTTGGATCTATTTAAATGTAATTTTTTATTTAAAATTGTAGGTAGATATAAGGAATGTTGAAAAGGTGATAGAATATATAGATAACACACTTGATCATGTAAAGATCACAACCGATAAAGTAAGAGTAGACCCTAATAATTATTTGTACTCATTATCTGTATTATACAGGTTGTATATTGATTCTTACTTCGGTTGTATTTTAGGCTCTTGAATATATTGTGCAGTACCAAGATTATTCTATGGTTTGGCTAACCAATCAAAATGATGCACTGTCAACTTTTTTATTATATGGTAGGGATCTAACATCGGATGAAATAGAAATTCAAAATGACGTTGACGAAGAAGGAAATCCATTAATTGAACAATCTCCCCCAAAGCTGATTGATTTTCAAAACAAAGTTTGTACAAAAATAATATACACTAATATTCGCCGCAGAATAAGAACTTACCTCGTCGTTCCCCACCGCAACCTTACCATAGTTGAGCACTACCAATATTGCATACAGAACTCCAATATCAATCAACCATTAATCGTTATACACGATTTAAACTCGCATATTCAATATAGCACTGTATATCGATCCCTTTTCGTTTTTGTTAGTCAATTAACGGCGGCTGCATACTACTTGCGTCCCGCAAAAAGGTAAATTGTACAGGTAGTAAATTAAGTAAGTAACTTGCGTCCCGTTTTGCGGACGCAACTCAACCATATTATTCTTCTTACCTGCCATTTAAGTCATGACCAAGTTGCGTCCATAAATATTATGCGTCCAGCGTTACAATAATATTGTTCATATTATTATGAGGTATGTGTAAATTGTATCTACGGGTTTATAAACGGTTTATAGTTTATTCTAAGTTTTAGTTTTAATTGACAATTGACGATTTTATAATAAAATATTTTTTAAACTATGCATAATAATTATTTGAACATGTTTTTTTACATAATCTATAAAAATTTTGTATAGTTTTATTCTTTAATGTGATGTTAATGTATTTTTAATGTAATTTAATCAAATGTAGTGGAATCATAATATGCAATAAATAAATTATAAATATATAATAATACTTTGTAATACTTGATGAGTGCTATGCTTATGCTTTATTTATGTCGGGACGCAACTAGGCTGCCTAAAAAGGTATACCGGGACGCAAATAGGCTATGACCTTGTTTTGCGAGACACAAGTTACCTACTGATAATTAATACGAACGCAAGTAGTATGCACCGTTAACGGCTACCTGCGCGCGTCAAACCTTTTTTGGTCCGCCGCCCAAGTACGTTATTTCGCGGCGAGTATATTATACTTAACTAGTTATATGAAATATACTTGTATAATACTCTTATGATATTGTATTTAGATTAACTTGTTCGATAATATGTGTCAAGAAGTCGAAAAAATAGATGAAATCATGACATTCGATGTTTGGTTAACTATAGATATTAAACCTTTTAAAAGAGATCTCTTAAAGTTAATTACCAGTTGGTCAGATTTATTCAAAACATATTTGGTCAATAAAGTGATGAACAGGTAAAGTAATATAAACTTGATAATAATACTTTTTTTTAATCTATTGTATTTCAATTATCTAGTTTGCGTTCGTTACGAGATTTCGTTGTAGAAACAGATATTGGTCTTTTAAAACCATTAGAAGAAGGTGACTATCAGGGTCTTGTAAAAATTATGGGACATTTATTTAATGTTCGAGAGAGGCAAGATGAATACGATTCAATGTTCGAGCCACTAGGAGAAATATTACATCTACTGAAAGTATATGATGTAGAAATGCCAGAAGATGTGTACATCTTGAAGCAGGTATGATCATTTTCATTAGTATGTTATAGAGTATAACTTCTATAAGTAATATTTGTTACACCTAACTTATAACTAACCAAAAAGTGTCTTAGTACAATTAAATTACACAAAAATATTCAAGCAAAACGAGATTTTGAGCAACAGATAAAATTTATTTATATTACGATAATGTGTATTTATTTATTTAGTTTATTTATTTTTGAAGCACAAAAGTCATTACATTTGTATCAAAGTTTATCTAAATAATTAGCTCGTAGAGAAGTGAGGTGGTAAAAAATATAAAATAAATTTTTTTTTCTAATAGTTGGAAAAAATAATCATCGATTAGCGGGGAATCTGAAATATTGTTAATATATTTGATTTCTACAAAATCATTTTTGTTACTTGCTGTAATTCAGAAATAAATGTAGAAATTATAAGTAATTAATTTTTTTTGTAGAAATTTTAAGATGAAATTTAGACAAAACTACGTATTTAAACGATAAACTTTGTCATGATCTTCAAATATTATTCTTAGGGACCCAAAAGTTATACAGTAGACGCCGCTTATAAGACTCACTTTGGGACCAGCACAAAGTGAGTCTTATAACCGAATGAATCTTATAATCGAAATGGAAAAAAAAATTAATTACATATTTATAAATTTTATTTTACTACATACTTTATTATTGAATAAATTTAATAATCCCGATAAAAAAAACTAAAATTATAATCGTTATAATTATCGTTGCGATAAATATAAACTTTTATCTGCGATAAAAATTATTATACGTTATAAGGTACCAACAGAAACTAGAAATAATCAACACGAATATTATTTCATTTTTCATTTCTAAATTATAACCAAAAAATTTATTTTATACTATTTATTTTACGAAATTTGAGTCTTAAAACCGATTTTTTTTTTTAATGTATTTGGATAAGTCCGGACCGTTCCAGACGATTTTGAGTCTAATAAGCGACTGAACCTTATATCCGTGAGTCTTATAAGCGGCGTCTACTGTACATATATTATAAATTTGACTAAGTATATTGAAATTTTTAAAATTGTAAAATTATCATAAATCCTAGGTTTTATAATATCTATAAAGATATAATACATTGAACTAAGGGCGGTTCAGATATTTGGAATCTATTTTAAGTTGATTTTAGTAAAAATTTAAAGTGTATACAAATACATATTTACGTTCTTAAGTTATTAATTATCAAAATTATATTTATTATTTTATCAATGATATAATACTCAAATATATTATTAAAAATATTTTTTTTATTTTAAAATTTAATTATTTTTTTAGGAATTACCGGAAAAATGGAGTACAACTAAGAAAAATGCTTTAAACATCAAATCTCAAGTAATTCCTTTAATTCAAATAGAAGGATCAATAATAATCGGAAGAATAATTTTGTTAAACGTACGTGAGACGTTTTTCAAAATGAACTTTTTAAAACAACCTCAATTTAAGTAAGTATCGAGATTGTTTTTTAATTAATTGTGTTTTTCAGTAAACCTACCTATCCTACTACAACTCATAATCAATTTTATTTAATTTTATTTAGAGCAAAATGTGAAAACCCTTATATAGAGATTGATAATGCTAATAATTCCTTATTGGAATTAGAAGAGTTGCACAAAAAATTACTTTCTCAAGCTATACTATTTGAAATTCCACAACCAGAGCCAAATATATTAGTATCAACTAAAAGAACTCTACGTCTTAATAAACAGCTATGGGATTTTGTGTATTTAGTAAAAGGTTGGATAGATATGTGGAAATCTACTTTGTGGAATAACGTAGACACCGAGAATATAGACATGGAACTTAAACGATTTGCAAAAGAATTGAAAGGTATTATATTTCCTCTTAAACAATTTTTAAATACATATTTTCAAAAACCATACTAACTAATACATATAATGAATATTTTAAGTAATGGATAAAATTATTCGCGATTGGTCGGTATTTGTATACATTGAAAACTTGATAAAAACCATGATGACGTCTTTGAGAGCATTAAGTGAATTACAAAATCCAGCAATGAAAGAACGACACTGGGCGGAACTTATGAAAGTTACAAATGTAAAATTATTTAAATTTGATGTTAAGATAATATATTTATACTATTAAATCACTTTAGGTTAAGTTTTCCATTGAGAAATCGACAACACTAAATGATTTAGTATCACTAAATTTACATGTATATGAAGATGATATAAAAAATATTGTCGATAAGTCTGTAAAAGAAATGAGTATGGAAAAGTCTTTGAAAGAATTTAATGAAACTTGGAATGCAATGTCATTCGAGTATCAGCCCCATCCTAGGACAAAAGTTAATTTGCTTAAAGTCAGGGAAGAGATAATAGAAGTCTTAGAAGATAATCAAGTCCAATTACAAAATATGCTAAGCTCAAAATTTGTTGGATATTTTTATAATGAAGTGTCCAATTGGCAATTTAAGTTAAACACAGCTGATCGAGTTATAAATTTGTGGTTGGAAGTACAAAGAATATGGGCTTATCTGGAAGCAATTTTTATCGGTTCTGGTGATATACGGGTACAATTGCCAGAAGATACGAGAAGATTTGAATTACTCGATAAGGAATTTAAGGTGAATGAAAATAAAAATAAAATATAACTATCAATAATAAAAATTAATTAAATGTGTTGTATAAATAGTCATTACTAGTGGATATAAAAGCCAATCCAAATGTTGTAAAGGGCACTAGTAAACCTGGATTGTACAATAAACTTGTCAATATACAAAATGAACTGTTTAAATGCGAAAAAGTTTTAGCTCAATACTTGGAAACAAAACGCTTAGCTTATCCAAGGTTTTATTTTATATCATCCGCTGATTTATTAGATATACTATCAAATGGCAATAGTCCGGAGTCCGTTTGCAAGTAAATTAAGCTAGTGTATTAAATTATTTGTTACATAAAACTATAAATTTATTCATAACTGCAGACATTTGATCAAGCTATATGACTCGATGGCAAAAATTAAGTTTATTAGAGATAAATTAGGGGCTGGAATGTACGCTAAAGATGGCGAATATGTCGAATTTAATGGAACTTGTGAATGTTCCGGACAAGTAAAAAAACAACGCATCTCGGATTTATATTTTTAATTGATCAACATTTGTTTTAAATGTTTAGGTTGAAAAATGGCTAAATAAATTGACGGACACAATGCGTTCATCAGGCCGTCAGTACTTCAATAAAGCAGTGAAATCCTACGATGATAAACCAAGAAGATTGTGGATATTTGATTATCCGGCTCAAACAGCTTTATGCGGTGTTCAAATATGGTGGACTGCTGAAACCAACGAAGCCTTTGCTCAGCTTGAAATAGGTCATGAAAACGCATTGAAAGAATACAACAAAAAACAAGTAGTTTAAGTTAATAATAGCTTATTGTATAAATACTAATATATTATTATGATTTTAGATAGTACAGTTGAACGAACTTATCGATTTGTTATTGGAAGACTTGACCAAAGGAGATCGACAAAAAGTGAATACAATTTGTACTATTGACGTACATTGCCGGGACGTAGTGGCGAAAATGATTCAACAGAAAATTGAAACCGGTTCTGCTTTTCAGTGGCAATGCCAACTAAGACACAGGTAATATATTAATGTAAAATTAATTTTGAAATCTACAAATTTTTGTATTTTCATAAAAGATGGGATTTTGATGAATCAGATTGTTTTGCTAATATTTGTGATGCGCAATTTCGGTATTGGTATGAATACTTAGGAAATACTCCTAGACTGGTTGTAACTCCTTTGACCGATAGATGTTACATAACGTTAACACAGGTAATTTTAACTATACGTCAAGATTGGATATGTATCAAAATTTACGTATAAACTCGTATCTTCAATTAAACAATTAAATACAACATGATCAAGCCATATAATGTAGATTAATCACATTTATTTTTTATACATATGCTTTAAATAGTCATTACATCTAATAATGGGTGGCGCTCCTGCTGGACCAGCAGGTACTGGAAAGACTGAGACTACCAAAGATTTAGGAAAAGCCATAGGAATGATGGTCTACGTTTTCAATTGCTCAGAACAAATGGACTATAGAGTGAATTAATAATATTATTTATTTCTAAATAAAATATTTTGCTTTTTATTGACATACGTGTTAATATTTTTTAAATAAAATCTCGGTTCTAGTCATGTGGTAATATTTACAAAGGCCTTGCTCAAACCGGTGCTTGGGGATGTTTTGATGAATTCAATAGAATATCCGTTGAAGTGTTGTCCGTGGTAGCAACTCAAGTTAAATCTGTATTAGATTCCATTAAAGCAAAAAAGAACACATGTTTTTTGTTGGGTGACAATGTTAATCTCATTCCAACCATCGGTATGTTTATTACAATGAACCCTGGATACGCGGGACGAGCTGAACTTCCTGAGAACCTTAAAGCATTATTTAGGTAAATCAACTAACATTTTCTAAGATTTTTGACGTTTCTTGTGTGTTAATTTCAAATTTCAAATATATTTATGTAGGCCTTGTGCTATGGTCGTCCCAGATTTTGAATTAATTTGTGAAATTAACTTAATTGCTGAAGGATTTCAAAATGCAAGATTACTTGCTAGAAAATTCTTAACGCTATATTCGCTTTGCAAAGAACTTTTATCTAAACAAGATCATTACGATTGGGGTCTAAGAGCAATTAAATCACTATTGGTTGTTGCTGGATCATTAAAGGTAAAAATCGAATTATGATATTATAGTTCGTATAAATATAATAATATGTACTTATTATAATAATTGATTAGACATTTGAATTTATTATATTTTACGTAGAATCTTTTATAATAAAATTACCAATCTTAACTAAATTAATTGTATTAAACATAATGGTATATCTATCTTAGATTAAAATGAATTTATATTTTTAGAAAAAAATTATAAAGTTATCATATTTTAATTTTAGCGAGCAGACAGAAATCGTCCGGAAGATGAAGTTCTAATGCGAGCTCTTCGAGATTTTAACACTCCAAAAATTGTAACAGAAGATACTACTATATTTATGGGACTTATCGGTGACTTGTTTCCTGCGTTAGATGTGCCCCGAAAGCGTGATTTAGAATTCGAAAAACAAGTTCGTCAAGCAGCGATTGATTTGAAACTCCAACCAGAAGATAACTTTATTCTTAAGGTTCTTAAAAAAAAATAATAATAACTATTAAGAATATTTTATTGATAGTAATGTGGATTTTGTTCACGCAGGTAGTACAATTAGTAGAGTTATTAGAAGTCAGACATTCAGTTTTCATAATTGGATTGGCTGGTACGGGCAAGTCCGAAGTGTGGAAAACACTATATAAGACTTATACAAACCTAAAGTTACAACCGTATTTCAATGACATTGAACCAAAAGCAGTAACTAATGATGAGCTATTTGGTGTCATTAGTCCGACTACCAGAGAATGGGTAGACGGTAAGTTTTCATACGCCAATATAATTGTAGTGTGTAGTTATACTAACATTATCCACATTTTCGAGTAGGATTATTTTCGTGCTTAATAAGAGATCAATCACAAATGTCTGGTGATGGATCTAAATGGATGGTAATGGATGGTGACATAGATCCGATGTGGATTGAGTCGTTAAACACAGTGATGGACGACAATAAAGTACAAAATCCTTTCAGTCTTATACGATTATTACATTTTTTTTTGAATAAAAAATGGACTTATATCACCATGTGTACACGTACTATGTTATACATTACAGGTATTGACATTAGCGAGTAATGAACGTATTGCTCTGACGCCAACAATGCGTCTACTATTTGAAATATCCAATTTGCGGTCAGCTACGCCAGCCACTGTTTCTCGAGCTGGTATACTTTACTTAAACCCTACAGATCTCGGCTGGAACCCATATGTTGCTAGTTGGATTGACACTAGGGAAAACGCTACCGAAAAAGCCGCTCTTCTGGTACTGTTTGAGAAATATGTGCCAATCTGCTTAGAGGCGCTGAAAACCAAATTCAAAATCATAACACCCATACCGGAAATAACGCACATACAAATGTTGTGCACGTTACTCAATTGTCTTCTGACTCCAATAAATTGTCCTCCGGAAACCACAAGAGATGTTTACGAAATATACTTTGTATTCGCTTGTATTTGGGCTTTTGGATCGGCGACATTCCAAGATCAGGTGCCTATAATTAAAATTATTGTTTATTGTATTTAGCGCTTCATATAATTAATATATACTACATATTTATTATAAAGATAATTATATATTCATATAGTTGATTGATTGGCGAGTTGAATTTTCCAAATGGTGGTTAACAGAGTTCAAAACAATTAAAATCCCATCATCAGGAAATGTCTTCAATTATTTCATCGATTCTGAATCGAAACAGTTTCTTCCTTGGTCAGATCTTGTATCACCATTTGAACTTAATCCAGATGTACCTCTACAAGTAATGATTATATTATTTAATTAAAACAAATTAGAATTATAAATCATATTAATTGAAAAAAGTATAATTACTCTTACATTTTTTTTCCGAATCGTATTATTTTAATGTCCAAGTTTATTGCAAATTATGGTAATTGAAGTTTTATTGTATTCTAGCCATTCTTGGCCTTCTTACGATCAATCAACAATATTTATTATTTTTAAATGATTATAATTATTTACAGCAAACACTCGTTAACACAACAGAAACAACTAGAATAAGATATTTCCTCGACTTATTAGTTGATAAAAAGAAGGCAATTATGTTGGTTGGAGCCGCTGGTACTGGAAAATCAGTTATAATAAATGATAAACTCAAATCACTTTCTAATGATTTATATGCGGTTGCAAATGTACCACTTAACTTCTACACAACATCTGGTACTTAAACTAAATATTTATGAATTATGATGAATGATAATTATATTTATGATTGAAGGTGTTAAACTTAACCTAACTTTCGACTTAAATTTTTAAGCACAAGTTTTGTAAACAAAAATGAATAATGCATAATTAGTAGTAAATAATTATTTATAAACTCAATGGTTATATTATGTTTGTGTATATGATGAATGATAATCTTATAGTTGTATACTGTTATTATTCTTTATATATATAATTAATGCTAGGTAATACTTTAAAAATGGATCTCTTAAAGCATACAATCATAAACATTACTAAAACAGTATTAAATATCTTATACTATAATTTATTTTTACCAGAAATGTTACAAAAAATTTTGGAAAAACCACTTGAGAAAAAATCCGGGAGAAACTTTGGTCCACCGGGTGGAAAATTACTAATTTATTTTATTGATGATATAAATATGCCAGAAGTAAGTTAATATTTTATAAATAAAGTTATTTATTTTAAATAACTATTGTATAAACATATCGCTATTGTAATAAAAAAATAAAAACTAAAACTATTATTACAATAATGAAGGTATCTCTTTAACAAATAAATTTGACTGCCTATTATACAATGATTAAAGTAATATAATACAGGTAATAATAATTTAATTATTTTGATGAACAATATTTTAAAATAGTATATTATAATTTGTAACAGATCTTAAAATTAATTTTTATAACAATATTTTTTTTTTCTATACATAATTTTTTTTAATGTAAATGAATAGGTAGACCCTTATGGAACTGTGCAGCCTCATACTCTCATCAGACAATTTATGGATTATAATCATTGGTATGACAGAACTAAGTTATGTCTAAAAGATATACAAAACGTCATGTTTGCTTCGAGTATGAATCCTACTGCTGGAAGTTTTACTATTGACTCTCGACTGCAGAGGCATTTTTATGTATTTGCTCTAGGGTAAGTCTTAAGATTTTTATAAAATTCTTGATTTATTTATTCTCTTATGATATATAGCAATGTATTTTAGATTTCCATCAAATGATGCATTGTACACAATTTACTCTTCAATTTTAACTCAGCATTTAAAAAACCCAATAAATAAATTCAACAACACTGTAATGAAATTAGCAGATATAATTGTGCAATTGGCGATAAGTTTTCATAACAAAATTCTTACAGTATTTTTGCCTACAGCTATTAAGTTTCATTATATATTCAATCTTAGAGATATGAGCAATGTTTTTCAAGTAAAATCTTATTCTTTACTTAACTAAAATATAAGAAAATTTTAAATAAAATTGTTTTGAAATAATTTTGTTGATATTTTTTTATTAAAAAGGGAATAATGTTTACAACTGGTGAATGTGTCTCAACAACAAGTTCTTTTATTCGCCTCTGGCTTCACGAGACTAGTCGAATTTACAGCGATAAATTAATTGAAAATAAAGATCAAGAAACCTTTTCAAAAACAATCAATGAACAAATAAAGAAAACTTTTAATGTGAGTATTTTATATTATTAATTAATCATTTTTGTTGTTTTTTAACACTTCCAAAAAAAATTTTCATGCAGACCTTAGTAATTGAGGTAAGATTATTACATTTTATTCATTGTTTAATTTAGTTTTAATCTTAAGATATGTTTAAATTAGCCATTTATTTAAACATATCTTAAGATTAAAACTAAATTAAACAAACAGTGAACTTTATAAAAATAATATTATCATAATTTTAGTTTTTAATATTTGTTACTAATTCTATATTATTTTAATTGTATGTTTATCATATTAATATTTTTATTGTTTGTTTTTCAAGATCTATGTAAATAAAAAAAAATTTTCTTAATTTTTTAAGAAAATCATTTGTTAGATAAGTCTTTAAAGGCCCCAACATGAGCATGCTGTGTGGAGTCCATTATTCTGTTGATATAAATAAATCATGCTAGCACACAATAACACTAATATGAATTTGTAAACTATAACAAGTGCTTTTTTTATTGTTACATTATAAAAATATTATGTTTTTATCTAAAACGTAATAAATTAACACTATGTATATTGATATACCTAGAAGAAATTATTAAAAAATTAAAAATTAATATAACTTTATAATGCTATATACAATTTTTTTTTTCAAAAAGTTTTTTTAAATTAATACAACGGACATATATTAACAGGATGTTCCAGAAAATGAATACTTGATAAGCCCATTAATATTTTCACACTTTGCGGATGGTATTGGTGATCAAAAGTATATGCCAGTGCAATCGTGGTCCACACTCCAAAAATTATTAAATGATGCATTGAATTCATACAACGAATTTGTGGGGGCAGTTAACTTGGTGCTATTCGAAGATGCAATGTCACATGTTTGTCGTATAAACCGTATACTTGAACTTCCCAGAGGCAATGCATTGCTCGTTGGAGTGGGTGGCAGTGGTAAACAGTCGTTGGCCCGACTGTCAGCTTTTATATCTTCGTTAGAACCGTTCCAATTACAGTTGAGATCTTCATACGGTATTTCTGATTTAAAAGCTGATCTAGCCACTTTATACATAAAAGCTGGGTTAAAAAAATATTGGCATCATGTTCTTGATGACTGATTCTCAAGTAGCCGATGAGAAGTTCCTTGTACTCATTAATGACATGCTTGCTAGTGGTGAGATTCCAGAGTTATTTGCCGATGACGAAGTCGATAATATAATTCAAACTATTTCTCCAGAGGTTTAATAACAAATTAGTTTAATTTATAAATAATTTAAAATCGACAATCCATAATTACAGGTTAAAGCAGCTGGTTTACCAGAAACTAAAGAAAACTGTTGGCATTTTTTTCATTAACAAAGTGAGATCATTAATCAAGATTGTATTGTGTTTTTTCACCGGTCGGCAACACATTAAGAATTCGATCTAGACGGTTTCCAGCTTTAGTTACTTGCACTTCTATCAACTGGTTTTACGAATGGCCTCAAGAAGCTTTGGAATCCGTATCGTTCAGATTTTTAAGCGATTTAATCGAACTTCCAGCCAAACTAAGAAAACCAGTATCTCTATTTATGGCCAACGTACATAGTTCAGTAAATGATATGTCGCTAAGATATTTCACAAATGATCGTCGTCACAATTATACAACACCCAAATCATTTTTGGAACAAATTAATCTCTACATGAAATTATTAGTGTCGAAGACCGATGATATTAAATACGGTATCTCCCGATTCCAAAATGGTATTAAACAACTTTTATCATGTGCAGCTCAAGTAAGTTAAAATAAAATTAAAAAATCTATTTAACAATAATGTTGGTCATTTACGGTTTATTTAATTAAGTATTTTTTTTATAGGTCGATGTTTTAAAAGTTGAATTAGATATACAAGAAATTGAATTAACCAAAAAAAATACTAAAGCTGAAGAGCTTATCAAAGTGGTCCAAAAAGAAACAGAGAAAGTGAAGTATGAAAAATACAAAGGTATTTATATTAATTTAAAATAAAATTCATGAATTTGATGCATATTTACTTTTTGTACAGCTGCTGAAGAAGAAGATAAAGTAAAATTGATTGAAGAAGATGTTGGTTTGAAACAACGAATTTGTGCAGAAGATTTAGAGAAAGCAGAACCGGCGTTGGTAGCAGCACAAAGTGCTTTAGATACCTTAAATAAAGTAAATATACTATATTAATAACACCTTGAAAAAAGCAAAATGCAATCATAATAGTTGATAAATCAATTTATACAAAATATAAACACTTATAAAAGTGTAAAAGAAGACAAAAATACTTAATAAAGATAAATTTAAAGAAAAAATTATATCCACAAAAAAAAATACATTATCAAAATTTTTATTTTATTTTATTTTTTTTTTTTTGTTGTAATTTTCAATTGTAGTTATTTTTATAAATTTAAATTATATGTACTTAAACATTTTCAATTACATAGGTTATATCGAATAATTTCATAAAATAATTATAACATATTATTTAAATATTTATAAAAATTAAGTTTATAACAATAATTATGTTATATTTGGATTAAAGCAATATTTAACTGATTTTTATTTAATGTTTTAGAATAACTTAACAGAACTAAAATCATTTGGATCTCCTCCGTTAGCAGTAATAAATGTATTATCAGCAGTTATGGTATTACAAGCTAAAAAAGGAAAAATTCCAAAAGATAGGAGTTGGAAAGCTTGCAAGGTACCTACATATTAATTTGTGTAATTTTGTAAAAGAAGTTTAATAATTTAATATTTTAAACGAAAATCTAGGTAGAAATAAAATTGTAATTAATTATTGTATGAACTATGAATATATAAAATTAAAACAATATATTTTAAGTTTATTAATTAAAATAAAATATATACCTATCTATACTGTATACTAAATTAATATACTACTATTTTGCATGTATAAAATAAAATATTGTATAAATTTTATCTGAGTATCAAAATTGTGTTTTTAAAACGCATATACCTACTTAAATTGTAATTATAAACAATTTTATTTTCAAACACTGCAATTTTTTTTTTTTTTTTTATACATCATTGGTAGCGAATAAGCGACTATTAGAATTATTTATTAAACTTAATGTACAATTTATTTTCTTATGTAATATATAGGTTATGATGGCAAAAGTTGATGGATTTTTGGATTCACTTATACACTATGATAAGGAACATATACATCAAGATATAGTTAAAGCAATTCAACCTTATTTGAAAGATCCTGAATTTAACCCAGATCTAATCGCTGCAAAGTCTTCGGCTGCTGCTGGTAAGTAAAATTAAAATCTAATTCATAAAAGTAATACAATTTATCTAAGTTTGTATTTAATATTATTATTATTATTTATATATATTAATAATATAAATCTTTAACTATATAATACATGAATGGTAAATATAAATAATTATGTATAGATATAACAAGTTTCAAAAATATTTTTAAAACAATAAACTATATTTAAAATTTTATATTTTATATTTATAATAATTCATAACAATGAATTTTATATTCAAGGTCTATGTAAATGGGTAATAAATATAATGAAGTTTAATAATGTTTGGCAAGTTGTGGAGCCAAAACGAAAAGCTCGAGATCAAGCAAATGAAGAACTAAGTGCTGCAAGGAACAAGCTTATGGAGATTAGAAATATGATTAATGTAAAGTTTAATTGAATAATAAATTATGCAGTATTTTATATAGACTATGATTTTAGGAATTGGAAAGAAAACAAAAAATTTTAACAGATGAGTTTAATAGCGCCGTAGCTGAAAAAACAAATTGTCAAAATCAAGCTGATGAAACATCTATGAGGATCGATTTAGCAAACCGACTTGTAAATGGTTTAGCGTCAGAAAATGTCCGGTGGAAAGAAAGCGTTTCGATGTAAATTATTTTAACATTATATTTATAGAAAAAATAAAACAATAAAATATTTTATTTTATACCTTAGGTTGCAAAAAAGTTTGCAAACTTTACCAGGGGATACACTCATGGTTTCTGCCTTTGTATCATATGTTGGTTACTTTACAAAAACGTATCGTCAAGAACTAATTCAAAATGCATGGTTACCTTTTTTTCAAAGAAGTTAAGGTAAATTTTCATATACGTAAACAAATCAAATCAAAATCAAAATATTTTATATATATATAACCTTGAGCACTAAATTTATAAAAATTTAAATTTTCAGCCTGAGATACTAATAACAGAAAATTTAGATCCACTATCTTTGCTAACTGATGATGCACAAATTGCAGCTTGGAATAATGAAGGTTTACCAAATGATAGGATGTCATCTGAAAATGCAACAATTTTAATGAACTCTGTTCGATGGCCACTAATGGTTGATCCTCAGGTATGAGCTATTTTTATTTTTAAACAATATTTGAATAAATATTACATAGTGAAGTTTATTTTTAAATAGCTTCAAGGAATTAAATGGATTAAAACTAAATATGGAAGAAACTTAAGAATTACCAGACTGAACTACAAAAATTATTTGTTAGATATAGAACTTTGTGTTAGAAATGGGAACGTTCTATTGATCGAGAATATAGGAGAAAACATTGACCCTGTCTTGGACAACATTATTGGTCGAAATTTAATAAAAAAAAGGAAGGTAAACAATATTTTTGATATTAATCTATATTTATATTCAATTTCTATTAATATATAATTATAGTGCTATAAAAATCGGTGAAAAAGAGATTGATTACAATGCAAATTTCCGTCTTATATTGCACACAAAATTATCAAACCCACATTATAAACCAGAATTGCAAGCACAGACAACACTTATAAACTTCACTGTTAACCGTGATCAACTTGAAGATCAATTATTGGCAGAAGTAGTGAAAGTTGAAAGACCTGATTTAGAAAGAATGAGAATCGACTTAACCAAACAACAAAATAGTTTTAAAATTATACTGAAAAAACTTGAAGATGATTTATTACAAAGACTGTCTTCAGCTGATGGCGACCAGATACTTGGTGACAAGGAACTTGTTTTAAACCTTGAAAAATCCAAAAGAACTGCAACAGAAATTGAATTAAAAGTGGCTGAAGCGAAAATAACATCAAAAGAAATTGACACTGCCCGTGAAGAATATCGTGTTGCTGCAACACGAGCATCAATAATTTACTTTATAATGAATGATTTAGTAAAAATAAATCCAATGTATCAGTTTTCTCTAGAGGTAAACTGTTAAATTTGATACAGACTAATTGTTTTAAATTGGATTCATATCATTTAATTTTTTTTATTTACATAGTAGTTATATTTTACTTCAATCTCCTTATTAAAATGAATTTTTTAATTATTTTTAAGCTCAGCACATGGATCGATTTATATTTCATATTTTTGTCTAGGCTTTCAATGTTGTCTTTCAACGATCTATGAATAACGCGGAAAAAGCAGACACTTTAAATAAGCGAATAGCTAATTTGGTTGATAATATAACTTATCAAACCTTCATTTATACTAGTAGAGGATTATTTGAAAAGGATAAGTTAATATTCATCTGTCAAGTGACTATTCAGGTGCATATATAAATATATGACTATGATAAGCTATTATTTTCGAATAATATTGTTAACGTCTATTTAATGAGTTTTACTTTAAAATTTTTATTTAATTATAGATAACTGATAACACTAATAACGTTTAAAAAAACAAATAATAAATTCATTGTGTTTTAGATACAACTTCAAGCGAATAAGATAAAACCAATAGAGTTGGAATATGTATTGAGAAGGCCAATAGTTGCTGGATTATCTAGTCCATTTGATTTTATTTCATCGAATGTATGGGGAGCTATTAAGTCACTTGTTTTAGCTAATGAAGAATTTGGGTAAGAAAAAAAATTACTTTTTAAAAAATGCTTAACTTATATTATATTAATTTATTATTATAATAAAGAATAATTTGTTAAAAATATTTATTTATTGTTAAAGAGGTCTAGATAAAGACATTGAAACTTCTGGTAAACGATGGCAGTTATACATTGATAGTGAAGCTCCAGAGAAAGATAAACTACCACAAGAATGGAAAAACAAAACTCCATTCCAGAAACTTTGCATAATAAGAGCTTTAAGAACTGATCGAATGACTTATGCTGCCAAAGTATATGTCCAAGAAATTCTTGGCCTTCAATATGTCAATTTTAGGCCTTTGGAGTTCATTGATTCATTTAAAGAAACTACTTCTAGAACACCTGTATTTTTTATATTATCTGCTGGAGTGGATCCAACACGTGTAATTATTAAATTATAATTGATATTTATTAATTATTTATATGTTAATTATTGAAACGAGTTAAACTACTTACAATTACGTATGGTATAAAAATCATAGTTACACCATGTTACATTTTAAATGGTTGTAAAAATACAATTCACTTGTTTATTACAAAATATATTATATTGAAGGACGTCGAAGCTGTTGGTAAAAAAAAAAGGATTTACAATTGAAAAAAAGAACTTCCATAACATATCTTTAGGGCAAGGACAAGAACAAGTGGCAGAAGATGCTATAGAGTTGAGTTCTCGGTTGGGTAACTGGGTCATGTTACAAGTAAATATTAAATTATAATTGATCGATAATCATTAATTCAATATAACATATGATGTCATTATATTTGTTTTAAAGAATGTACATTTAGTACAAAAATGGTTGCCTACTTTGGATAAAAAAATGGAAGCATCTTTTGAACATCCACATGTCAATTATAGAATATTTATTAGTGCTGAACCCGCCCCTGATCCACTCTATCATATTATTCCTCAAGTATTTCCACTATAAATTAAATGATATTAATTCTTAAGCGTAACATTTTTGTTTATCTTTTTAGGGTGTTTTGGATTCTTCAATCAAAATAACTAACGAACCACCAACAGGAATGATGGCAAATTTGCATAAAGCTTTAGATAATTTTAACCAAGATACTCTTGAGATGTGTTCGAAAGAATCAGAATTCAAAGCGATATTGTTTAGCTTGTGTTATTTTCATGCATCCATACAGGAAAGATCAAAGTTTGGAGCTCAAGGATGGAATAGATCATATCCATTTAATGTAGGCGATTTAACTATTTCTGTGAACGTTTTATATAATTATCTCGAAGCCAACACTAAAGTTCCTTGGGAGGACCTTAGATATCTTTTTGGAGAGATCATGTATGGTGGACACATTACTGACGACTGGGATAGAAGATTATGTCGGACTTATCTTGAAGTTTACATGAATCCAGATCTAGTACTTTAAAAAATATTTACATTCATATATGCAATTTTATATAATGAAATTTCGTTATTTAAAATAATAGATGGAAGGAGATCTTTCATTTGCACCTGGTTTTGTGGCACCACCAAATACGGACTATAAATTATATCATGAATACATAGATGATTTATTGCCATCAGAAAGTCCAATACTGTATGGACTTCACTCGAACGCTGAAATTGGCACACTCACTGCAAGATCTGATAACTTATTCAAAACTCTATTGGAAATGCAACCTAGAGACTTAGGTTCATCCGGTGGAACTGGTATGTCAAGGGATGAAAAAGTAAATTGAACTTCACTCGTGATAAAAATTTAATTTATAGGACATATCGCTATAAATACCGTGTAATTCTAGGTTAAGCAAACTTTGGATGATGTTCTTGATAAAGTTCCAGAACCGTTTAATTTAATAGATATGATGAGTAAGGTTGAAGAACAAACTCCATACGTAATAGTATCATTCCAAGAATGTGAGCGAATGAATTCGTTAATGAACGAAATAAGACGGTCATTAAAAGAGCTACATTTAGGATTAAAGGTAATAATTATTTATTTAATGACTTAATAACACGGATGATAATGAAACAATTAACAAAAGACAGAAATCACAATATTAAAATAATTAGTTTAATTTCAATTAAGTACAAAAAGAATAATTAACAATAATTAGATTAGAAAAAAAAATTATATTGATATACGTATTATTAACATAGTTCTGAATTATTCCATTAATATTTATTCAAGAATTATATTATTTGTGTTAATTTTAGAAAGAATATAAAATAAATCATTATTTTTGATATTTTTTGTTAACATTTATTTTATTGATCTCTTAGTTAATAAATACTAATTAAGTATCTACTTTATTGTTTAAAAGTTTCTGAACAAATGAATAATTTTTAGTGGTTTTAAAAACCCGAAAATGGTATTATAATCAAAGAGTAGTAATCAATGAGTATTACAATATATAGGTACCTATATATTCATAACACATAAATTCAAGAAAATAATTTTAAACTAATTCTAATTGGTTTACATATCCTTAATTATATGTTTTCAGATAATAGAGGACGTCGTCTTAATATTTGGGAGGTTAAAAGCAAAATGTATGCTTAACAGAATCATTTAATTTAGAACAATATATCTTTATAAATCTTATATTAAACAATATTTTAGGTATTTTTATAGAATCAATAAAAAAAAATAATAATAAAAAATAGTTTAGAATCAATGTACACGCTTAAATTCTTGACAGTGGAGCTCTTGGATAATGGAATAAACTTGTTTTTGTAACAAATATTGAAACAAAAATAACAAAATACTTATCATTTTATATCTTTACTATGCTTAGCTAAAATCTTATCCGTACTTATATATTTTCCACTTCTCCCATTTATCGAGGTTTACTAGATAAATAATTGGCGTTTCCTAAAATTTAGGGTGAACTGACAATAACAGCAGATATGGAGGCGTTAGAAGAATGTTTATTCATGGATAAAGTGCCGCCTAGATGGGAAAAGCTTGCCTACCCGTCATTATTGGCTTTAGCAGCTTGGCATACAGATTTATTGAAAAGATTACGTGAACTAGAATCTTGGGTTAGCGAATTTCAGGTAAACTATGACTTATCAACTAAAAATACGAAATCATTACAAATATTATAAACAAATCTATTAAATTGTTGTCTTAGCTTCCATCGTCAGTATGGTTAGGTGGATTTTTCAACCCACAATCATTCTTAACTGCTATAATGCAGAGCACAGCTCGAAAAATGGGATGGCCTTTGGATAAGATGTGCTTACAATGTGATGTGACAAAAAGATACAATGAAGAAATCACGTAAGTTAGCAAATAATCCTAGAAATTTAACCAACTGATGTTGAATATTCTAATATTATAAAATACGCTTAAACATTGTCTTGTCGTCTTGGGATATTTTAGGGTAGCACCCAGAGAAGGCGCTATGATAAATGGATTGATATTAGAAGGTGCTCGTTGGGACTTGATCACGGGTTGCATTGTTGAATCAGTTCCAAAGGAATTGTTTCCAATAATACCGGTGATACATATAAAAGCTATCATCAAAGACAAACAAGATTTGCGAAATATTTACGAATGCCCGGTTTACAAAACCAAACAAAGAGGCCCTACATATGTGTGGACATTTAATTTAAAAACACGGCAAAAATCGTCCAAATGGATTTTAGCTGGTGTAGCAATACTACTTAGTGTTTAGCTTAATATAAATAGAGTACACAATTATTTGTGATGAGATATAAATAAGTTCAATAAACATTTGATAATTTGACGTTTTTATAATTATTATTTATCACTGAACTATTAAGCTACTATTACCGTTACATCTACTGACAACTAACTATTCAGTTAAGCGATACGTTCACGTCAATACAAAAACAAATTAATATACCTACTATAAATGTTGATGTGTGAATTCTAATCATCTGATTCATTATAATTCATAAGTGTAACTTACACAATACAAAAAAATAAGCTAACCTTATCGCACGCTAATGTCCGATCGCCGACCACTCCTACGCACGCAATTCCGATTGAAAAAAAACGCGACGTTGTTTTTAATTTTTTCACGAGAGAGAGCGATGTGGCGATTTAGTCGTGTTATCTCCACCAAAGCCATGTTTTTATACCTTTATGTTTTTTGTATTTATTATAATTATTAAAACACGTGTTATGTGTTCCTCGTTTGGACTCCTCCTCTCACGGCACGACTCACCAGCGATGCTAACGACATCTCAAGGCACCAACCGCCTCGCTCGCTCGAGTTTTTATGCGCCCGCTCACAACATCCAACATCTCCGAACGCTCACCGTATGGTTACCTGCCGATACGCACCGATACGCACCGCGTCTCGAAATCGCTGTTCTCCGTACAAAACCACGTGACCGGACGTGACACCGTTGTGGCGTTGTTCCGAACGCCATCCGAAACGCGTTTGTCATATTATCACTATTTTACTTAGTGTTATATTTTTTTGTACGTAAACTGTTTTATCTTTTCCCGTTACGAATTATACACACTCGTAATAGGTACTTCTAACGACGCCATTTTTTCCACTTCATTCTTCTTCTAGAGTCGGATTTATGCTGATCCGATTGTCGCTGTGCGAGTGCGTAGGGGATATTGGTTTACATCGCCTAAGCTTTCCACGATCACAGCCGGCTGGACTTAAAAAAAAAAATGGTTCCGAATTTATAGCTCCCGCTAGGGTGCGTTACAAAGTAGTAGTCATAATCATTTTACACAAGTACTATATGAATATAGGATATTTTGTAATTTTAGTATTATAAACATGGACGGAACTACAGATTTTTATTAGACAGAGCCACTTTTCTTGATCAATTCCGGTATCTAAATAAACTGTGGGAGGAGTGGTGAAAAACTCAATATTATTATCATTTTTTTTTTTTTAAATTTATTTGTTGTATTTATACACACTTTTGTATATTTGTGTTAAATATCCACGAATTTTTATTAATAATGCATATATATATATATTATATGAGTATTTACAGTTCAATATTTTTTTCTGTTTTAAGTCGAAATCCCAATTTCTTTGATTCAACATATTGTTACTTATGTACTGTTATACTTGTATAGCATTCTATATTTTTAAAATTTAATAATTACTAAAAATCAAACAACAAAATATACTTTTTGAAGTGATACTTTAAAAATATCAGAGAATATTTATAAAAATAAACGACGATAATATGGAACCATATGCTTATTATGCTTCTAATGTTAAAAAAATTATGATAAGCGTTCTACAGCGCACTCTGCCGGATGTTTCATATCTGGGCCCACTAACTATTGTCCATTAGTATTGACTATTGATCGTTGTCTTTGTTAGATTGTTCTAATGTTCATTAATTGTATAGTCTGTCCGTGTCGTTTGTAACGTTCCCTCGTGACTCATTTACACTTAATACCGTTTTTGTGTTTTAATATTTTTTAACTAACTGTTTTATTCAGTACTATTATCATGGGGTATTTATGCATAGTAAAAAATTGCAATAATTCTAGTAATTTAACAATGATTAATTGCAAACTATTTAAGATACCTAAAGACGAACGGTAAGTTTAACCCTAACCTATCACTAATACATTTCAATTATTATATATTCAGTGGCGTAGACATAATTTCTGAAGAGAAAAGATCAAAAAAGTAAAACGACGTAGCTTATACTCTCTAAAGTCAAAACGTCTGTATTAAATGCTACATTATTAAATGTATAAATAAAATAAATAATAATTAAATTAACAAATCTAGTTTTCTCTCTTTATTTTTTCTTTGTTCGTCTAAATTTTTTTCTGCTATAGTTGAAATATTTCTATAAACTGTCATAAGTGTTAGTCCATTTAGTCATTCCTGAAACAAATACATTTTTAATTTATTAAATATTATATTTTACTTCTTTCATTGTATTTTTTGTTTAAATCTTTAATTTTTTAAACAAGAGAACCTCCTTTCCAGAGTGGCAGTTAAAACCGGTAAAGTACACAATATACTCAATAAATTAAAAATATCCATGCATGGAATGCATATAGTAACTCAATAATAGGCCTCAGGATCTAAAAGACCATTTTAATTTATTGATAAATTATCTCTGTGTTTTTGTAAATAATAAAATAATTCAACAAATCATTAATTGCATCATAACGTGCCGACGAGCTGTTGACTAAAAAGCGTCGCACGAAGAAGAGTCTTTCTGTGTTTCAGGTGACTCCGACATCGCCGAAAATATTGCTCTATATAGTGGCCATTGACCCTATATTATGCGAGATAGGGCAATATATATTGTACTTAATCTTTACAGCCTTTTATATCTCAGTATAGTTATCTTATTCTGACAACCTTTGACCTGGCACTCGGAGATTAACACTAGCCAAATGAACTTAAGTATTGTATTGTAGGGGACCATTGACCTCCAGGGAATAGAAATCGTGATTAGGGCTATAATATCTATTTCTAATTTAATCGCACCCAATAACTTGCGCAAACATGGGCTTACATGCTTATTTCGATAATTTGATAAAAGAAAGTTTTTTAAATGGTCTATGTCTTTTGCTTTATATTTTAAAATAACTCAAAAGTCGCCTTCATTTATTTCTGAATCACTTATAAAAATAATGACAAAGAAAGGCCCAATAAGTCCAAGTTTGAGGTATGGCTCTTTAAAAAAAAATTATTCCCTAACTAAAATAAAATTGTATCTAAAATATATAGTAAATAAAACATATCAGAGCTAATAGTATTGTATTACTTCATTATAGTTAAAAAAAAACTTACTATCAAATGACAAAGAACCAAAGTCCCTATGACCCCTTAAAGCAATCGCTTAACGACCACATACCAAAATACAATCAATTATAGGAATTAAATTTACCTATCTATCTTTAATTTGTTTATAATCTCAGGTTTCTTTGAAGATGCAGTATTTCCAGTATTCAAGAAATAATTAGTTTTATAAAGCTAGTTTATAGTGTTCATGTTTAACATAATTATTCAAAGTTTAATAAAATTAATAAAAATAAATCTTAAATATTTATAATAATATTAAAAAATTCAAAATGTATGAACATAACTTTATAGATATACTTCTAATGTTTTTTTTTTTTAAGCTATCTATTGATGTAATCACAAGTTTATATAATTTTTGGCATTCAAATCCACTAGTTCTTGAAAAAAACAAACATACTTAATAAAAATCGCCTTGTCTGGTCTCTGAATATGCTATGAAAATTTTCAACCAATGGTGTTGAAATTTGAGATTTCTACCTTTATATTTATCTATTATAGGAAATATATGTGTTTCTAATAGAACCCACACATCTGTCAGAATTTATAAATAAATTTAGTTTTTAATTTTTTTTGATTAAAAAAAAAAAAAAATGGTTCATTTTAATATTACATAATATTATAGTACAATACTATTTATATTTAATTAAATAACTTACTAGGTTTTTGTCAATGTCACTCAAATCACAATATTTAAACAAACCAATATTATTTTTCCTTGCAATAGAATATGTCATCTTAAAAAAAAAATATAACATAATATTGTTTATAGAAACATTAGAAATCCATAAAGCAGGACTAAAAGACTCAGATAAGTTAGATAGTTAAATATCTGACTGCACTTTTTTTGAAATATGAAAGTAGAGTTAAGTTTTTCTTTTATTATTCATATTTAAATAATATATTACATTAATTAATATAAAAAAATATTGCATTATAGTGCATACTACATAATGTAAAAATAAAAACCAATAGAAGGATCTGACTTCCATGCCCCCCTTGTATATGCCATTTAATGTATTATATATTATATATCTAATTATAATTTTAACAATTTAGGAGTGAAGATTGGTTGATAAATTGTAAACGTCACGATTTATTGGGAAGGTCACTAGAGTACTGTCGTGTGTGTTCATACCATTTCGTCGACAAAATGTTCGCGGACCCTTATAAAACAGTTCTATTGCCTACTGCTGTTCCAACTGATTTCTGTAATTACAATTTTACATATTACATATTTTATGCTTTTACTATTATTATTATTATTTTTTTTTTTTTTACAGCAATGATCTTTAATGGAGAAATTTGTATTACTTCAACAAAACAAAAGCTGTCAACTTCTAATTATCCAAGTACATCGGTTTCTGCTGATTGTTCAGTATCCTCTTCTGCTCAAACCACTCAAATTCTTCCATCACACATTCCATGTAAGAAAAAGTATAGTGCTGAACTTCAAGAAATTAAAAATAAATATGAACAATTAGAATAGAAAATGAATGTCTTGAGTTAAAAAGTAGCTATGAAAAATTGTGCAAATACAATGACTTCATGTTTAACAGAGTTGAAGCATATTGAGTATAGCAAATGGTTATTAAATACTATGTTCAAATGAGTAGTAAATATTTGTATATTTACAGCACTTCTCAGCAAAGTGATTAAAAAATTTTAAGGAGGAATATCTCACTTAAGCCATTTTTTTCCCATGTAACACAATAACAGTAATTTTCAAAAATCATAATCATAAATCACAAAATAATTTTATTTTCAAAAAAATGTAATCCCGTGTAACCCCTAGCATTTAAATTATTTTTAATTTTTCAACTTCATTAATTGGTGTTAACAATAACACTCAAGTCATATGACTATTAAGTCTATTTAATTTTAATATAATCAACGTTCCCTTCTAACATATATAAATTTTAAGTTCTTTTAAAAATAATTTTGAAATTATATTATCAATTTCATTTACAGGGAAGCGTAATTGGTCAAAAACCGTTGAGATACCTGATCTTTTGGTCAAACGATCCAAGGATACTAAGAATGACATGATTGGTATTGAAGAACAAAAAAGAATCTTGGCCACACGTTTGAAAAATCCATATGAAGATGATGATATTGATGTATTTTTTAAAAGTATTGCAATGACGGTTAAAAAAATGCCACCTCAATCGATCAAAGAAGCTAAACTTAAAACTCTTATGTTGATCACTGAAATAGATAAAAAATAGGTATTCAACTTCTTAAACACTACCTAAAGTTTATCAAGTACCATCAGACTATAACAATATGTACCAATATCAACTAAATTCATCAGCTAACTCATACAGTAGTACCTCAACATTGTCGTAAGGGATTTTGCCATTCAATTATAGTGATGGGTCTAATTTTTACCCATTGGAATTTTTTTTTCTTCCAAATTTATGTGTATATAAATTACTCTTTATTTTATGTTTAAAAAAATTACAAGAACTTATAAGTTACTAACTTCATAACATTAAATGTTTAAAACTTGTAATAATTCAGTGTTTGTTAATTTTATTTATAAACATTAAATTAACTAAAAGATTGGTTTAAATTAAAATATATTTTGTTGTTATTTTCAAGAAGTTATATTATCCATAGCTTGTTTTTATATGTTATAATATTGTTTGAAATAATCAAATATAAATACATCTAAATGACTACATATAAAAATGAGAATTAACATCAAATGAAATTATATATTTAGCTTATAGTATATTACGATTCTTGTAAATATAAATAGGAACAGAATAAATGTTGAAAATTACAATAATTTTTAACAATTAAACATATTTTTTGTGGGCAAATACAAAAATATTTATTAAACATTTTTACATTTTAGTAACAATTATGTATAATATTTGTATAATACAGTGAAATCTCTACATAGTGGACAACCTTGGGGAATTAAAAAATATCCATTATAGGGAGTTGTCCACTATTGAGAAAACATCTACATAGTGGACATTTGCGAGAAATTGCTAAATTTTCACTATAGGGAGACGCTATATAGACTATAAAGATTTAGTTATACATATCTATATACACACACACACATATATGTACCTATACATTGAAATTGGTATATATTAAAATATTAATTTATTATATATATATATATATATATATATATATATATGTATGTATGTAATAAAAAATGGGTATAAAATGTTTATAAAAATTTTAATGTAGTTACATTAAATATCTATATTATTTATAATGCCTAAATAATTATTAAAATATAAAATGTATACAAATGTTTAGTCAGTATTAGGTCAGGCCATAGCCTGACTGGTCTGACCCGTAGTTTTGCCTATGAATATATCAAAAGATTTAAATATACATTAATACTAATAATGTTTAAAAAAATACAGATATAATATTATCATTATTATAAAATTAGTTTAAATAATTTAATATCCTATTGTTTACATTATAACTACTAAATAACTTATCTTAAATACCAATAAGGTCATTATTAAGAATCATAAATTAGGTATACAAAATAAAATTGTCTGTCTAATAAACAAAAAAAATTAAGATAAAAAACAATAGTTAAACTTTCTATTGATATCCATATGTGTTGTAATTGCAGCAATGGAATGACCAATAAACTTATCTCCATCTGATTTCTTCATTAATACACCTTCCGAAGTAGACCATATTTATATCTGAACGAATACTCTTTAACCGACAGTTTGGAAACTCAAAATAATTTTCGATCAGTTGTGGTTAACTGTTAACTCATGCAGTGGCGTAATTTGCAATTGGTTCTGGAGTGGGATATAAGTTTATACTATCGTTCTAGTGGAGGTTTACGCCTCCCATACCCCTCTTGACAACTTAATCTCATAGATCATAATATTATATTAATTTATTATTATAAATTAAATAAGGTAAATGATAAAATAATGGTTTTCAAAGACAACAAAGTAAACAATTTAATTTAATTTAATGTAATATATTTTTGATAAATTATAATATTAAATTAATTTTTCTTTTAGTTTTTTTTGCTGAAATATCTAGTATGTGATCGGGGTTCAGCTCAATGTCTCGGTGCACAGATAACATTGCAAGTCCATTCAAGCGTTCCTATTAAGTATTTAATTTAATAAAAGTTCATAATTATTATGTAATTTACAAAAATAATGATATTACCTGACCCATTGTGTTTCTTAGATAAGTTTTTACTCTTTTCAAAGTGGAAAACATACGCTCTGGTGAAGTGGTCGAGACTGGCAATGTACATAATATTTTTAAGAGCAAAAATATGTTTGGATAAATTTGTTCATTGCATATAATGAGTGCTTTTGGAAGCTTTTCACATTTGATTTATAATAATAAAAAATATTAAAAAATAATAATTTTAATTCAATTAATGATTTGTCAAAACATTTTTCATCAGGACTATAAAATTCTATCAATTTTTTGAATGATAATTCTTCATCTTTGGTTAAGTTTGAATTTGTTGAAAATAAGCATTCAAACCCTACATAAATATAATTAAGAATTAATTATTTTTTAACAATATTTATATAATAATATGCAATTCTTATAAATATTATGTTACATCATTGAACCTTTTAAAATATCTGAATGAGACAAAAACCTTTCTTGTAATTCAGTTATAAAATAATCAAGATAAGGTCAAAAAACTGTTATCCTATAGTATGTTTCTACATTTAACTCTTTATCTGTTATAGTATTCGCAAGGTTTTTTTGTTTTTTAATAATTCTTTTGAGTGTTAATTCAATGTCTAGTTTAGCAGACATGTCCTATAAGTTATAACAAATTATACTCAGCTTAATATAAGTGTTTATATAATAACTATATATTTACTACCTTTGCTTGACTAAATAATTTTTTTAAATTCACAATCACAATTACTTCTAACAAATATTATTGACACACCTCACTTGCGTTCAAAATAAATCTACTTATTCGAAAAAGTTTATCTTGTTATAGTTATCATTCAAATATTTTCGAAAGAAAATTATTAATTAAATACGATTAATATTAAATAATGGATATTTTTTAAACCTTCTGGTCATCATTAGTTCCATCGCCGGATTCCATAACGGATGGTATTATCACATCGACCTCCGGAACGTTGATGATACCGTCTCAGATGGCTAAGTCATAGGGTTCGGGTCGACCGTCATGAACGTCATATGCTATGTCCGTACTGATTTCGTCGTCCTAAAATAATAATACATAATATTATGATCATTATTCATGTTAAAAACTGGTTTTATATAAAAATTCTTTTTTTTTATTTCCCAAAGATTACTTCTACTATAAATTCAATTTGCTACCTGAGAAACATATTATTTTCAAATCGATACTTTCATTTCTCTGCTTAAATTATAAAATATATTACTTACCCTGCTAAATCCACCAAATTTAGCTTCATTTCGTTATATTTATTTTCATAACTTATTGTGCATATACAATGAGATCTACTCGATTGCGCATTCATACGCGTGGGTGACACACTTTTCCTTTTGTCACCCACCACCATCATTTTCATGGCATCAATACAATTATTAATTTTTATTTTTGTCAAATTTTTAAAGTTGATGTCACCATTTGGAATAATACTGAACTTTATTTTTTTACTAAATTATAAAAAACGCATTAAATCACAGTTATTATTTTTATCTGACTAATTTAATTATTTTTTTGTATTAATAATTTGGTAATAAGCTTACTTCAATCTCATATTTTTTGTTTTTTTCAGTGATATATCGTTTGCGTCTACTAATAAATCATACACATCGTCATTGTATATCTCAATGTACTCCATTGAGAAATCGTGATGTAGTTTTAAAAATATTTTTATTAATGCGATTTGAAATTAAAAATTAATAAAATGAACTTCAATACCTTCTGTACGTTCAAATAAATATTCAAAAGATCCAGGGTTTTTCCGCTACTAGTCTATAGAGTATAGAATAAAAATAATTAGTAATGTATTATTAAAGAAAAGTGACCAAAAATATCTCATTACTTGCCCACACGTAAATATGGTGCTGTTCATACCGAATAGAAATCTAAAAAAATATGTATGAATGAAGTTTAAGTTATTGTGAATCAAATGCATAAGTTATTTATAACTATATATGCAGATATATGTATTAACAGGACATAGGTCTATATTTTTGATTTATTTTTTACAATATATTTTTCATTAAACACCGTACATTATATGTAATTTTTTGATGGATTATACATTAATATACGTATACAACGAAAAATGGGTGTTAAGTCGATTCATCGATTCACAAATTTATGTTTCATTTTAAAAATAGTGTTACATTTTAAACTTACGAAATTATATTTAAAAAAAAAAAAAATCCATTTCATCTATAATCTATAGGTAAAATAAGATGAGATGGTTTTTTATATTTAATAAATCCCCCCTTAATCTTGGATAGTAACATTAATTTAATTATGTATGGATGACAAATGTCTGGAAAAAAAAAAAAAACAAACAATTAATTGCTTTCAGTCATTTTCGAACACTTTCTGTAGTCGCTGTCAGCTAAGGTTTAATCTTCGTCCAAAAGTGGAAAGAGGAAAGACACGGCTAACAAATCAAAAAATTAAAACGATTAACTAACTAAATCCCAAAGTTTAAAATGTTTTTGTATATGTATTTTTACAAATGCTTTTAAAGTATTTAATAATATTATATATAATCGCTGAATAACCCAACTTCAACATATACTTATGGTGTTATATTGGTGTTAGGTACTCGGTTTTATACCAATTTGACCGAGATATAAAATAGTACTTATTTTAGTTAATATTAGGAAATATTTACTTATCCAATATCGGTAAAGCAACATTTTCATAAATCTTGATCTGTGGAGTATTCTCTTTGAATATTCCGTGATATCTAATTAATAATTAGTATTGGCGGGGCAATGCCTAATTATATAGTGGTAATATAATTTAGGGTAACTCCAATAATGAAATAGACATAATAGATAAACAAAGTGGACTGTATATTAAATAATAAAAAAAATCACACTGATAATAATACAATATAATAATGATGCTTATTAGGCAATATAACAAATAAGTAAATAATAATATGAATATGTATTGACTAAAAAGTCAATTAACTATGAACAATATAACAAAGTAACAAATACAAAAAAATTAAGAGGCAGCAAATAATAACAAATAAATATAATAATAACAAATTTGAAGCCTTGAAAGTCTTTTTAACATAAGTAATAATTAAACAATAAGTAACATTTATGCCTCATATGGCACTTATAACTAAATAAAAATATTACAATAAATATTATAACCATGTGGTGCACCACGTACCTTAAATATGATTATGATGCCATGTGGTGCCCAGATCCGTATTTAATAATATTAATGAATTACAATGAAAAACAAGTTGATCTGGCACACTCACATGAGCATCGCTAAACATACTACGAGGAATCAAACTTAACTTGCAGTCAAACCATACATTAACAAATCCTAGGATTATTCACCAACGACAATTTATATAAATAAGAGACCTCCTGCAAATATAACAATATTTAATAACACCGCAACAGAAGATGACCGAACGATACATACCAATGTAAAACACAGGAGTCATTTACCGGAAGCTACGTATTGCTTATATCGTTCCTATGTTCTTCATTAGTTTTGTTTCGGTTTGGTCTGTTGTACCATTGTTCTTTGTGTTTGGTATTCTTTCTTTATGCCGTCTCGAAGCAGCATCTTGTGTTGCTTGCTCATTTTTTATTATTATGTTGTTATCTGTTTTGCATTTTATTGTTCCTTTTCATTGTCCACGTGGATCATCCATCTTGTTTTT